AAGAACCCTAGCTAAGATTCGTCCGATTCTGATTACTCGAATCAAAGCAGGGTTTTTGAGACTAAAATCCGATCTTGTGAAGTGGGTTTTGCATCGAATCGGAAAATATGAAAGAAGGGAAATCATCGAAGTCGAATCAACAAGAGCAGCATGAACAGATTTATCACCAAAACAGTCACTTGGGTTCTTTCAAATTCGCCAAATTGTTTGATTCTGAAGCTTCCTGGGACAAGGTATAGTCTCTCTAACTTCTTATTGAACCGATCGCAGAATCTGTTAACTTTGAGTTCGTTGGTCATAATTACTCTAAAGTTGATTCCTTTATGTTGTGGGCACAATCAGTTGTAGCAATTGAGCTCTAAAGTTTAAATCTTTTCTGTTGTGTGCACTATTTCATTGTAGCAATTGAGCTCTAAAGTTTAAATCTTTTCTCTTGTGTGCACTATTTCATTGTAGCAATTGAGCTCTAAAGTTTAAATCTTTCTCTTGTGTGTACAATGAATGGTAGCAATTGAGCTTTAAAGTTGATTTCTTTCTCCATTTGTGTTCCTTACACTGCTTCTTTAGCCCATCTTGTATCTAGACGACCATAAGAACTTGTTATGGAAAAAGCCAGTTTTTGGCAAAGGAATGAATATGTTTCCGTATTTGATTGCCGAAGCTAGTTGTGATTAATTCTGATTGGTTTTCACTCGTGGATAATGAAGCAATGCTTTGTGAGATTGTTTAAAGTTGTTTTTAATTTTGTGGTTGTTTTTGGGATAGGATCAATTGGGAGATGTGTTGCATTGGATCAGGCAAGTAGTTGGATTACTCTGCGGATTGGTTTGGGGTGCGATACCTTTGGTTGGAGGGATATGGCTACTTCTGTAAGTTCTGTCATTTTATCTTCTTACAATGTACAGTATGAGTAGAAAGAGTTGGAACCTCCTGCCTAAACTTGAGCTATAGTTTGTAGATATCTGGTGTACTTGATGCACGAAATCGAATCAACTTTGCCAGTATATCGATTAGTTTACATGGCTTTTGTTCTATGTTACTGGTCAGAAAAAACACTCTAAAAATCCATCACTTTGAGCTGATAATAAGCTACATCAGTTACTATTGTCCTTATCTATAAAGTTTTTATGAACGCTGCTCGAGTTAAGCCTCGAAATTTTGTACCTGTTTGCAAGAAAAACTCCGCCATATTTGAAGGTCTATTAGATAGAATTCTTAATATATCAGTGGTACCTTAACATCTAGGTGAAATCTGTTTTTCATAACAGAGAAATAACCGTCAAAACCCGAATGTTCAATATCTGTTTTTATTGCTTTAGTTAGTTAAGTCTTTACTTTGAGCTTGTTTTACCTACAACTGTTTTCGGCGACATTCGTAGATTTTTAGTTATCGATGACAATCATACTACATAGCAGGCCTTTCGTGTTGAGTTGGTTTGTCTTAACAAGTAGCATCGTTGACTGTAAAATCTGACAGATTTCTGGCAATCTCGTCTGGCATAGTATACGGTTACTATGCATTGATTCTAAAGATTGATGAAGAAGACTTTGGTGGTCATGCAGCTCTGCTCCAGGACGGTCTATTTGCTTCTCTAAGCTTATTCCTGGTATGTAGATTTCTTCTCTCTGCCTATCAAAAATTCTCTAGTTAAGTTAATCCTTCGAGTTTTCATACAATCTTGGAAATTGATTTTGGTGTGATGAATTACGTTTCAGCTTGCGTGGATTCTGGTGTATAGCTTGTCTAGCTTCTGATAGAGACACACTGTATGTCTTGTGCTCCGAACAAGTTTAGCAGAACGTACCTTTCATTGTTTCTCCAGTTTACGCTGTGCCCTTTTCTGAAGATGGGAACTAGCATTGGTAGATTTTCAAATTTTTTATGGAACTTTTGGTTTCCTTTTGTTCTTGTTAATTACTATGATTTTTATTTTGTGTAATGAAAACTGATAATATTATTATACAAGGATCTGTGTTTAGTCCAAAATATTACAGTACTTTCTTTATTAAAAAATTTTGTACAAAAAGCCTCACTGATAAATCAGGTACAAAAAGCTCAGGTAACACAAAAAAATGCGTCTGCCGGGAGTCGAACCCGGGTCTATTGCTTGGAAGGCAATTATCCTAACCGTTGGACTACAGACGCTTCCATGCTTAGTTACCTAGATTAATATATTTAAAATTTAAATTCTATACAATAAAATACAATAAAAGAAACCTACCATTTATTTGCAAAATCATAAGTTCGTTAATGTACCTCACATTCTTTTACCAATTCCTTACACGTTTTTCTTAGCATATATCAAGTTATTTGTTTTTCTTAGCATATATCAAGTTATTTTATAGAACATTACGCCAACTTTTTTAAAATCATGCGAAAAATACACCATATAGTAACGATTTTCCCATCCTGTTAGTTCTTTACAATTTTGATGAAAATTTGGTTTTCTAAAAATAAAACCTTTAAATTTCAAACAAAACCATGGTAGGAAAATAAGGCCTCGTGACTTCTTTCTACCATGACAATCACAACTACATTCACTTGTCTCCCAATGAAAAATAAAGAACACAATAAATCAAGGCCTATCGAAGTAAGGATCCCACTCATGCCTCTCAACATTCCCAAACACATTATATTTCCAAGAATACTGCTCCGGAAAATCGAAAATCTCCTCTTTCCCTTCCTCTATCCTCTTCCTTAATCCCTCCACTCTTTCCAACACTCCTTCTACCGCGACATCGAATGCATCTTCAAACCTTCCCGTGTCTTCGCTCTTACTCGACGGGTTAAAATACATTAACCTCGGTATCAGTCTGATCACTTGTTCTCTCATCGCGAAAATTTTCGTCCTTGGGATCCTACTCAAAACATTCTCTATACTCACTTTACCTTCTTTCACGTTTTTCTCTGGTATAAAAACAGAGTATTTCGCGATATCTTTCGGTAAATGCCAAATGTATTGAGCGTAAGCTGACCCCGGATGGAAGAAAACCGGTATACAACCTGCTAAGATGGAGTCGAAAGTGGAGCGGCGTGTGTATGAGTCACCGGGTGGTTGGAGACAGAATGTTGAGCTCAAGAAGAATTTCATGATTTGGTCGGGTTTGTAGCATTTTTGAGAACCCGATACGCATTCTAGAAGCTTGCATTTTCTTGTGGAAGCTTTGCATTGGTCCATGATCTCGGTTCTTATGCTGTCACCGAGATTTGGACGTGGTGCACCGACAAAGGAGAATAGGTAACGACGATTAATTCTTCTCATTCTCATCTGCCATTGGATGATCTCTGCGTAGGTTGAAGGGTGGAAATAGGTCGGGTAAGGTACCGCGAATCCGTGGTAGTTCCATGGGCTTGATTCGATTAGTAGCATCGTCATGTTTCTTACTTCCGGTAAGATCATTAACCTGGCTAGGTAGATAGAGAAACAACAATGAGAAGACTTGTCCAATAAAAACAACTTAAAATATTCATGAAATATAATTCTGCTACTATCTTACCATACACATAATTCATCAAGTTTTCATGTTTTAAAGGATGGTGGCGTACCTATTGCCCCAATCGGATTCATTCTCAGGTGTACGCATAAAGTCCCAAGTGGTACGACCAGCCACCATAAAATGATCTCGGCCGTCCATTCTCTTCCACTCTGGACTCTCCCTCAGCCACTTCATCAAATCAAGCGCCGCAGCATCTCTCATGAAAGGGAACGGTCCCCACAAAAACCGCATCAAGTCTAAACCCGGATAGTAAGGAACATACACCGCGGAAGCTAGAGACGAGTCTTTGGTCAAGCACTTGTATTGCTTCATCCTGTTGTGGAATATCACTTCTAATGTAAATTGGTTTGTGGCATACCAACCAGAAACTCCCTCCATGTTTGGTAGACGAGGGCCTAATCCGAAATTCGATGTTAACTCGCACATATCGGTCCACCTGCTCAATGTCCAACAATTCTTGAGAAGCTCTTCGTTAAACAAAGCTGGAACTTCGTGCATATACACATATTTTCCTTTACATGGATCGTTACTTCGCGTTTCTCTTGGCCGTAACATAACTTTTCCGACTCTTTTAGGTTGGTTTCTTTTGGAAATTACTCTGTTTTTCGCCTCGGAAGTATTATTATTATTCGATGAAAACTTTCTCTGAGTTTTTGGTTCGGGTTCAGAGGTGTTATCATCTTCAACATCATTACTGGACAAATCATTCGGCAATTCCTTACCCCTCTTGCTCTCTAAATCGTCGTCATTATCATCAACTTGCGCTTTCTTTGGTTCCACGTCTTTCCTAGGCTCGAAAAAATTCGGTTCTTTGTCTAATGCTTGATGATTCTCATCACTATTCTCCACATTGCTCTCATCATCATCCTTTTGACGAACCTTTTTCTTTTCTGCCTCCAATCTACCCGAAGATCTCGCCTTTCGTGGCTCTCGATGTCCTCTCCTTGCCCTCGATGACCGACCAATTGTGATAACCGAATCAACTCTCTTCTTCTCATTCTCAACCCTTTCTTTCTCGAGTTCTTCAACGAGATCAGTCACAACCTTCTTGTCCTCTGACATCTGATCATCCGGAGATATATCGACCGAGACAGGAAGAGAGCTGTTATCAACAGAAACGTCCTCGGATACAACGACAGGAGCTTCATCGGATTCGTGGTTATGTGGGACGTTTTCGACAGGGAGATCGATGACATTTTCTTGCCGGAACAATCTCTCATGGTTATGAACGGTTTTAGCGGAAGAACTAAAAAGGTAAAGCAAGACAAGCCAAAGGAGGAAAGAGGCCATTGCAACGTACCAGAACTGGGTTCTGTACTTTGAGCTAGACTTCTCCATTGCCATTGTTCCTCCTCTCCTATGTGGTTTTCTCATGCATTAATTAACCAAATCTTACCTCCAATATTGCTTGTGATACAAGAAATCGTTAAAGATTGTGTTGATTTCTGGATCTGAACGATAGATTTAGGGCAAAATGGATGGATCTTTGGTAGATTCAGAAAATGAATGGACGCTGTGAGAGAGATGGTGATATTGGGATGGTGTTGAAGCGTTGGTGAGATTGGGATGGTGTTGAAGCGTTCAAAGGTTTTGTAGTGATTAATGGAAAGATTTGTTATTTTTTCAATAAAGCGCGTTAATTAATTACATTTGGAGCTATATTAATATTTTGTTCATGCACCTAAATTAAAGTCCCTTTTTCAACAAATTGATGTTTAATTAGTACTTAATTTTGGTGTAACAATCTGGCTAATTGGTCTGTCCCTCCACTCGCCGCAGGCAAATTTCATGCAAGTAAATATATAAATGTGATGCAGTTTCTAGAGATATGTTTGATCAAGATCGACTACGGATCAAGATTTTCCATAATACTTTTGTGATGGCTTCGAACCCTGGCAATTATCGGTGATTTCAATAAAATTGTAGGACACTATTAAAAATTATTATGGCCTAGAAAGAGTTTGTTTATACATTTCCACCTTATGTGACAGAATTGTGGGATTGTGAATTTTGATTCAAGATCCGCTTACGAGGTTAGATATAGGGAAACATATATATATAGCCCAAAAACTAATCTTCGGATTCAAGGAAACCATGTTAAATTGGTCGAACCCCGGTGGTCAATGCTACTCAAACCCAGATAGCGAGAATCAGCTCCGGTCCAACAATTATAAGAGCCTAGTTGTTATGCTTCGATTATGTTGGATGGTTCTCGCGCGAATCCACAGCGATTTGGTGTTTGATTTGTTTTTTCATTAATAATAAAAGGGGAGGCTACTTGGTTCTCAAAAAAAAAAAAAAATATAAATCAAAGAGTCTAATTTTTAGATGTAGAAGTTAAGTAAGAAAGAGAAGAAATTTAATTGTTTATTTGAAGAGAATGGTTATTGGTTGTTGTGTCATACATCATTCCATTTCATCTTCTTTTTACTTCCACTTTTTACTTATTACATAATTGAAAAAAAAAGTCAAAACGTGAAATTCATGCAATATGATATGCTCACAAGTACCAACTTATAACAAGTCAAAGCCTCAAAAAGAAAATTTATGGAAGGATCAAGGATGCATGAAGTAAGAACTTTAGCAGCATATAAATATAAAAAGAATTTAAGGGCACCATTTTTCTATAAATCTTCTGGCAATGCCGTTAAGTCTTCTACTTTTCTTTAAGAGATACTAGCCAGTTTGAGACCTTAACAATTCCGAATTATATTGATGGCAGTCAACATAGTACTCATATACAATAAATAACTAGATATTTTATGGTTTACCATTATCTAAAGTACCCATAAATGATGCTAAACTTTTTTCCTTTTGGGTTAATTTCCTACTTTTACGTTTGTCTATAACTGATGTAAATTAATTGATGCCAGATCCTCTTTTCAAGATTCCTTGAACATCAATTCTATAAATATCCTTTCAGTATTCTCTCATTTTTCCAAATTTATCAACTAAAATTACTATTGTTAATTAATTAATTTTAAGAGAACAGAGAAAAAAAAAAAGCTATGGCTAAGGCAGCCTTCTTCACTTGTTTTTCCAGTCATCTTCCTTGTTATGTTTGCTTTAGGTAATAATACATTTAATCTTCAGATTTATTCATATAAAATATTCAAACTTTTTCATATAAGCCTAATAATTTTTGTTCAAACTACATATTATATGGGATATCCCCCCAAATGCTGTAAATCATCATTATGTTTTCCTTAAGTGTACAATATATGTAAACGTTTGTTCATAAAATATTCAAAATTTTCACAAGAAAATTGTTAATTTCGGCTTTGTTCATCCACATATGTTCCAAAGGTTATATATATAGATATCTCCTTGGTATGCTTTCTTTAGGAATTTATTTATCTTAAGGTTTTTTAGAAAAAGATAATCCTCCAAAGATATACATATATACATTTTCCTCAAAAAGTTACTTTAATGTAGGCTATATTCATTGGATATGCCCCAAACGTTGTAGTGAATTGTGATGTTAGCCTTAGGTATGTATACATTTACCTTCATGGTTTTTTTATACCAATATCTTAACATATGATCTATAATAGGTTTCATCTTCAGCTCTATTCATTAGCATATATCAGAATGTTGTAGTTCAATGTAATGATTTCTTCTAAGTTCTACTAATATTTTGTTATCTAAATATTACTCCCTCTGTTCCTAGAAGTTTGATGTTCTAGGAAAAAAAAAAAAAAAAAAAAAAAAAGTTTGATGTTCTAGTGTTTTGGATTTGTTTCACAAAGATTAATTTTCTAGATATTTTCTTTATTTTTAATTAATTGATTTTAATAAATCGTAGATTTCAAGACGTAATGATTAACTGTTTTAGATTACTATTGGTTCATAGTTTATTAAGAATTGTTTAATAAAAATAAATAATTAAACAATGATTGTTTCTTAAAATATGTGAAATCTCTAGAAAATCAATCTTCTAGGAACAGAGGGAGTATATAGAACGATTTTGTTGGTTATAGTTGAACAAAATATGGGATGCATCGGTTCTTGGCTCGTGCGGTGTGATTACAGACTGTAGTGGGACATGCAAGACTAAGTTTGGACAAGATGCGAGTGGCGATTGTGACCGCGACGGTGGTGTTGGAACATGTGTTTGTGGTTATTCGTGTCCATCACCTCATCCCCATATGTGAAATCTATAGTATTTTCAATTCTTCAAAATGTATAACTATATAAGTAGAAATCAAAACTGAAAAATACATGTCAAAACTGGTATATATTTTTGTAAGAAAAAATTAAGCATATATTTGACTCAAATTTGAATCTGAATCAAAACTGAAACGATACCATTATCTTACTTTGAATACCATTATTCATACATCGATACGAAAAATCGAATAACATGAACCGAAACCCCGATTTAGACATCCCTAGCTTTTTTTTTTTTTTGAGCATAAGACATCCCTAGCTAAAATGCATCTTTTACTTGTTTTGTTACTTACTGGAAAGCCAAATCCAGTAGAGGCACGAGAGACTCTAGACCTTTCAGAAGGTCCAAATATAGAGATGCAACAAATATTTATAGTACTAGTACTATTTTGGATCCATTATTAAAACCGAATCTCGAGTAACATGTAATTATTGATAAGATTTTCTCTAACGTTTGAAGATTTTCTCTCTAATAATTATACGTATAAATACTAATTATTACGATTATTTTAACATGTTTGACGGTTTTAAAAGCTAAGTCAAAATTTAACATTTGGATTCGAAGGAAAGGAACATATTTTCTGAATTTACAAGAAACAGAAAGGAATATTTTCTATTTTCAACTCTACTAATATACAAATTCAAACACAACTATATAATAGAGTATTGATCATGTGATTAATATTCGAATCGTTTAAACTCATGTGATTTAAATCAAGATTAAATAAATAAAAAACTATATACTCCCTCTGTTTCACAAAGAGTGTCATTTTAGAGTTTTGCACACAGATTAAGAAAACATTAAATTTTTTATTTTTTCTAAACAAAAACATCATTAACTATATACCTAAACATAATCTGCCCAATAGTAAAACAATCTGCAGAATACTAATAGTCATAAAACATAAAAAATCATTAAATTTTGCATTGGAAACCTAAAACGACACTTTTTGTTAAACAAAAATAAAACCTTAAAACGACACTTTTTATGAAACGGAGGGAGTATTATAAAATTAATTATTTGTTTCCTAAATTATTACATATTTTGTCTTAAACTCAATTTAATTAGCTTGTTCACAAGGAAATGCCTCAAAAGAGGAAAGACGATTGATTCATCTTACCTTCATCTTCTTTAGAAACAACAATGTCATAAAAAGTTTGATCCTTTCTCTTTAGATTTGGCTTCGAAAATGGCTCGCGATCGGCGGGAAGGTCTGGAGATTAAGGTGGTGAATCCACCGGCAGCGACAAACAATGTGTCTCCAGAAACGTCTCCGGCGACGGCGACGAGGAGACGGAGACAACAACGAGCTTCGTTTGCTGAGTTTAGACCGTTTAAGCTTTGGTTTCCATGGCTTGTTCCAGCTATCGTGGTGGCTAACATTGCCCTTTTCGCCATTTCGATGTTTATTAACAATTGTCCTAAGAACTCGGCTTATTGCTCAGCTAGGTTTCTTGGGAGATTTGCTTTTCAGCCTATGAAAGAGAATCCTCTTCTGGGTCCTTCTTCTTTGACGTGTGTAACCTTAAAGATCTCAACTTTGATTCGAAAAGATTCCACATTTTGGTTGAGATTCGTGTCTTTGAGTTTGAAATGTTGAAACTTTATCTGTTTCTGATGATTGGATTTGTTAATATGGTGATGGGTTATTAAAAAGTTCATTACTTTGTACAATTTGAATTGACTTTGGATTAGATCTTAGACTGTGGTGCTGAGAATGAAATTTGGTGAAATTATAGTTGTGGCATTGCATTTTAACAGTTAGTATAGTTTCTGGTAATTAGTAGATGTATATGTTTATTGTAGATGTTTATTAAGCTTGTCTTGCGGATGAATCATGAATGTTTAGTTAGTAGTGTAAATGGTTTTCTTTTGAGTTAGAAGTGTTATAGACTTATAGTTATGTGTGTTCTTTGATACCAGATTGGAGAAGATGGGGGCTTTAGATGTATCAATGGTGGTTCATAAGCATGAGGTGTGGCGATTGTTCACGTGTATATGGCTACATGCTGGAGTTTTTCATGTTCTTGCCAACATGTTGAGTCTTATCTTCATTGGCATACGACTCGAGCAAGAGTTTGGATTTGGTATGCATCTTAATTTTTCTCAGCCTTTTATCTTTATGAAGGATGAAATCGTTACTCTCAGTTTTGGCTCTTTCTGTCTCATGATGGAAGGTTAGAAATTTTGCGAGATTGCTGGATCATGAGTTGATTTATGTGCCACAATGTATATGGTTGATGCTGAAGACTTACCTTTTATTTACTAATTCTCATTTTCTTTGACAGTACGCATTGGATTGCTTTATATGATATCTGGATTTGGTGGAAGTTTGTTATCTTCTCTCTTTAACCGGGCTGGTATATCCGTTGGTGCCTCTGGAGCATTATTCGGCTTGCTTGGTGCTATGCTTTCAGAGCTTCTCACTAATTGGACTATTTACGCAAATAAGGTAGCCAAATTTTCCCTCGTTAAACAAGCCTTTCGATGAATGATGTGTCTAAAAAATGTCATCGGTTTTCTTCATTTGCAGTTTGCAGCTCTTTTGACACTCATCTTCATCATAGCCATTAATTTAGCAGTAGGTATTCTTCCACATGTAGACAACTTTGCCCATCTTGGAGGATTCACATCCGGGTTTCTTCTAGGCTTTGTTTTCTTGATCCGTCCTCAGTATGGATACTTCAACCAGAGGAATAATCCTCGCAGTTATGCTGCACCGTCTGCTAAATCCAAACACAAGCCATACCAATACGTTCTCTGGATCACCTCTTTATTGCTTTTAATAGCTGGGTATGCTTCTTTTTCTTTCACTATGAATCGATTACAAAATGAAATACAGATTCCAGTCAAGTCTTTAATGCAAATTTATGAAATTTGGTGTTAGATATACTGTTGGACTTGTAGTGCTTCTTCGAGGGACGGATCTGAACAAGCATTGTTCATGGTGCCATTATCTCAGCTGTATTCCTACGTCGCTATGGAGCTGTAAATCTCAAAATGACTACTGTGAGGTAAAAACTCTTATGCTCTTTATCTAACATATCTAGTTTGATCCCACCATTCTTGTTCTGTGTTAATACTTAAAAGAAGACACTAATCTTTGTGTGTGACCATCAAAACCGGGTTTTGGACTAGATAGAAACTAGATAAGCATTGCGGAAGCGAAGAAGATAGAACAAATACCTTTCATTTCATATGTTTCGGATCTTTTTGTTGTATTCGAGTTTATAAAACTGAGAGTGATTGCGGAATTCGTGCAGTCGAGCCAAATTGGACAGCAGATGAACTTGACCTGTATCGCGAATGGGAAAACAGAGATGTACAAGCTTTCTAACGATATCCCGTCTCGGGTTCAGCAGTTGTGTTCCCAATTGTGCCGCTAATACCGCTAAACGTCTAATTTTTATACTCTCTAGAAAGTTAGGAATGTCTTGGGGAAGAGAAAGATTGTTCATTTAACATGATCATGCACTGGTGGATTCTTCTTTCTGATCATTGTTTGGTTCCACTTCTTGTTTTATTGCATATGTATTGACCATGATCTATGTAATGAGAACATAGGTGAAGAGAAAGTTTTTGTTCTTTAACATTTTAATTATAAATCAAGATGTTCAATTTCATCTAAATTCTGTTTTGTATATAATTTTGCTAATTCAAACCATTTATATAATTGAATTAGAATAAATGTAGAATTACTAAAAGCAAACTATATAATACATTCATCATTAGCAACTTTTGAATTTCCACTAATTGAGGTGCGAAGAAGCAAATTATATAATTAATTTAAAAATTGAAATTGATTACTTAAAAGTATCTAATCATATTATTTTAGTGTCGTACGTATATATGGTTAGTGCGAATATGAAAACTCCATTACCATCTTACTCTATTTTTTTTTTTTTTTTTCGAGTAGTATCGATGTACATATGCGTGTTTGAATTTACATGATATCTCTATAACATTATCACAAATCATTAAACTATATATGCACAAAGTAGAATTACATAATTATATGATATTTTTTATTTAAAAAGTTATAAATTTGCTTAATAATATTTTTATTAAACAAACATAACAAAAAAAATACTAGTTTTAAAAGTGTTGCTATATGGTGTTATAGTAAAGGATATTTCTCATTTTTTAAAAATGATTGCTGATATGAAATAAATAAAAAGAGCAAGTTTAAAAAACCATAAATATATCTCTTACCATTCGAAAAAAATCTTCACTTTTATGTCACCGATCCAATCCTAAATTCTCTTTTAGAGCATTAAACTCTTATGTACTCTTACGTAGGTTTAACTTTAATGCCAACTAATAACATCTATCGCCTTTTATTCTTTAGGTCTCCACCCATCGTAATGTTAAGTCGGTCGGTGGATTATATTGTTTGTTTATCCATCGGTTGTTACTTTGAAAATTTCACAAATATCAAAATCATTATTTGAATCTTGATTTCATAATCGTTGATGTTACATTTACATACTCAAAATTTAACACTAGACTTACCAAAACCAGTTGGCGCCAAATCTCAAAATAGTATAATCATGATTGTAGTAATTTTGTTATAATGGTTATAAATTCAAAGAACATCCGAAATGGCCTAAGAAATTTCCTGACCAAGTGGATTTCTGATTCATATAAAGAGGACAAAGTAGTGATTAAACAAATGTAAAACTTGTATCTATCTTCTATTTATTCTTCTCTATAGTTTTATACATAAACAAATACTTAGTCTCCACCACTTACACAGATCATTTCCTCCAACACAAAGCTTTCTTCTTCCATAGAATTTGAATCATCGCATCTTAATCCTCCTAAACAGGTATGCTTGTAAATTTTGTTTCTTACCAGAACTAAATTCACTTTGTTAATTTGTGATTAGATTCTCTATTTTCTTGTGCTTATTATTAATCTTGATCAGGGACAAGAACATAAACAGGTTTTTGTGTCGGAGACTAAGAATATAACAAGGATTTT